GCAGACTGAAATTATCCTTCTTCTGTCTAAACTTCAGACTCCTTGTGTTGTTAATAACTCACCATTATCATCAGTTACAAAAACCATTCTACTTTCCAACCTCATCACAAAGAGCAGCAGATCTAAAGTATCACTCTTTGGTATCTTCTGCTCTTGCACTAATTTTGTGGTATCTGAAATATATTTGCTGCCTTTGTCTTTACCAGCTCAACATATTTGCTGCAGTCAGCTCCTCTCACAACAGTTTATCAACTGTTGATCAAAACAGTGATCATCAGTCTGTCTGTGGTGCTCTCAGGGTCGGTGGTTGTACTAAACCTGCCGTTTGCATTTTTCAGAGGACAACATCCCCCACGAATTTCCCTCCATTGATTTGGGCCCCCATCTTAAAGTTGTTGAAAAAAACAGAACTGCCACAATGCTGTGCGCTGCCAGTGGAAACCCAGACCCAGAGATCTCGTGGTTCAAGGACATGCTTCCTGTGAATATCAGCAGCAGCGACGGGCGCCTCAAACAGCTTCGCTCAGGTAGACTTTAAAATTATCTGATTTAATATCTCAAAGATTTGAATTTGCGTGGCATACTGAGAATGTTGCAAAGCAGCTTTCAGATCTTTGTTCCTATACCATTTCTTTTATACACTTTCACCATTAAAGGCATGAATGTTTTATTCAACTTCATTTTGATTATTTGGATGAATTCTTCTTGTGAGCTTTATTGGTCAAACCAGGACAGCTGCCACTTTAAAAGTAACTCGGATGTTGGAGTGCCGTTTCCTGCAGTCTTTGACAGCGATGACTGCGTCTGTAACCTTACAGATATACAGATGAAGAATTTTCAGCATAATAAATAATCCTCAGTTTTCTGTAGGAGCTGCAGCTGGTCACAGAGAGGCAGCTCAGCAAGAGTTCTGTTGAGTAAAACAAAGATGTTGCTGTTGCTGATGGAATAGATTCAAGCTGGAAGTTGATCAGGCTTTTGTGCCACCAATGCAGTTCAAGTTTCCACAGTTATAAACAGCATTTTCAGACATCGTTAGATTCATTCATGAGTTCAACTGATGTCATTATGTCATCCAGAGATTGAGATTCATTCACTGAATTCCACCTTCATAGAAACTTTATACAATCTAGAAAACACACAGCATAAACAGCGTACTGTCAGTGTACAGGATGAAATCAGCCAACTCATGAAACATCTGCTGACATCTGGTTGAATTCAGCTGTGTACGTCCACAGCAGCAGGTCAGCTGCACACTAAGAAAATCTACTGGATCTCTCAATCGAAATGACTGAGTTATGATTCTTTTCCCCACACTGAAACACTACAGCTGATTCTAGGTTTCCTCCACCTGCTGAATCCACTTTAACCTCTTCCCTAATCATTTTCCTGTTTATAGTCACAGTCCCCCTGTACAATGGAGGCAACAGAAAATAGAGATATACATTTTTCTTCTTTTTCTCCAGATTCAAGCGAGTATAATTAGAATTTAAAAAAGTTAGACTAAAATTTGTGTTCCCATATTCTAATATTATTTTATTATTATGTTAATATAGCACAAGGTTCAGTTAACTTTGCACAAAAATAGAAACGCCCTCCAACAGAGCCACCATCGAGAGTGTACTAACCTATTGCATATGCATCTGGTACACTAGCTGCACAGTGGCTCAGAGGAAAGCAGTGCAAGGGATCATTAACAGCGCCCAAACTGGCTGCCTTCTCCCCACGCTGGAAGATCTACACAACACCCGCTGTCTTAATAAAGCTCAGAACATTATAATAGATACCTCACATCCTGGCCACTCCCTGTTTGAACTGTTGCCCTCATGGAAACGGGACAGAGCAATCAGTGCAAGGACAAACAGACTCAAACACAGCTTTTTCCAACCACAATAACACGTCTGAATGCTGTTACTAAAAAAAGTCCATCACGCCATTCTTGAAATGATCTATGCACCGACTGAGGCATGTGTGTGTGGAGATGTATGTGAATGTTTGCTCATACTCTTCTTATTGGGGATTTATTTATTGAGAACAGTGGATTCAAACATTACAGAAACACTACATACATTAATGTTTAATGAAAATTAAAACATCTTGCAGCGCTTCCAAAACAATCACTGGCTTTCAGAAATTCATGTTGGGGAAAATGAGAGCACAGGAAAGGTTTTTTTTTCTTTTTTAAATGCAGCTCCATTGCAATGAAACATCTCTTAACAAAGAAAGGTAAAGAAGATATGTTTTATAACTTTCCTGATCTGCTGGATGTTTGTATTGCTTTAAGTATTTTATTGCCAAACCTGTAATCCTGTCTGATCATGAACTGGGTTATACTGGGTTACAGTTGGCTACTGACTCTCTAGCAAGTCACTATCAAACTGCTGAATTCACTAATTCTTTACACAGGAGCGCTGCAAATTCAGAACAGTGAGAATTCGGATCAGGGGAAATATGAATGTGTCGCCACAAACAGCCTTGGTGTGCGTTACTCTGGTCCCGCCAATCTCTACGTACGAGGTAAAGTCTAATGTGTCTCTCACTTGTGGAGTTAATCAATAAGGTCATTGTGTTATCTCATGAAATCACACAACTGTTTAAACCCTCGCCCCTCATGGTTTGATTTAAGCCCCACTGTGGGAATGTGCAGACAGTGTTTTAATGGCATCTTCTCGTATAACTTTAGCTGCCCCTGACACAGGGAGACAAATCACTCCTCATTATTGATTATAAAATGCTTATTAGTGTTTTGGTAAGAAAGAGATGGGCTCGGCTAACATTTCATGATTTCGTTAAAAGCATACAGTCGTGTGTCATAGAGGCTGTTTTATGGATGAGTGATCAAACACTGTTCTCACACAGTGAGACCTGCTTTAAATGTGCTTGTTATGTTATTCCATTATTCTCTTTGTGCTTGTCTGCACATCTGGACAACAGCGATCAGCCCTGATGGGCTTTTGCCCTGTATGTGGCGTAACTACTCATAACGTCACAAAAAGCATTATAATGACTTCACATATTCCTTTTTCTTTTTATTTTCTTAGTACGAAGATTCCCGCCCAGGTTCTCCATTCAACCCTCCAACCAGGAAGTGATGGCAGGCGACAGTGTCAGTCTCACATGTGTAGCAATGGGCGCACCATTGCCATTTATCAAGTGGACCAAAGGCCCGGTGGACCTGACCGAAGAAGACGAGATGCCATTAGGGCGCAGTGTGCTGGAGCTCACCAACATTCAAGAATCAGCTAACTACACATGTGTGGCCATGTCTAGTCTGGGCGTGATTGAAGCTACTGTTCAGGTTACTGTTAAAGGTGAGAGCTGATTTCAGATCAGTGGTTCTGTTGATCTGAGGTTTCACAAAAGTGTGAACTCTGATGTTGATTTGCCTACAAATGTAGTCGTTGATGAAACAGCCCAAATTCGTTACAGATACTGAAGTCGTTCTGGTTCTTAGTATGTTTTTTTTAAGGGACTGATACAAAAGCTTGTAGGTATTTCTTCCTGTATGTTGTTCTTTTTGGTGTCCAAGTGTCTGTGTGAGTGTTACTCCAACCAACTCTGTGTTTGTGACGTTGGCACTGTATTGTCTATCTGTAGCAGAGTAGTGTGATCAGAGTAATCTGTCGTGGTCCCTGTGTCTGCCTGGCTGGTCCCACAAGCCCACATGTGTTTATTGTTTTGCTCTCTCTTTTCCTGGACGTGTGGAACCCCGGATTTCCCCTCCACATGTATATATATTGTAAATAAAACCTGTACTGTCTGCGCCTGTATCCTCCCCGATATCCATGACATAATCAGTGTAATCACTTTTTGTCTGCAGTTTCTATGTGTGGTCAGCATTGGCCACAGTTCATTCCTAATAATCAAAGTGAATAATTTTCTTCTCCCTGCTCAGAACAACCAAAGCATGTCGAGAGACGTGGGGCAGAGAGAAGCTGAAGTCCCTGCAGCTGTCCCCGGTCAGAACATCCAGCATCATGTGTTAAAATAGAGCTTTTCCACATTTGCTAATGGCAAAGGATCTTAATTCTTGATCAAAGATAAATGAAAGTATAATATGAAAAAAAAATATAATATGTTAATAGAGAAAATGGCTGTTCTAATGTCTGAATATTATGTGTGTGTGCACATGATCCAGCTTTGACCTCGGCAGTTCTGTGTCTGCAGGAATGTGGAAGATAAGAAATGTGTCACCAACCCAAGATTATACATGTTTTTGACTAAGAGTATCAAGTGTATTAATGATTAAACACAGAATCACAATTTATGTGGTTTTACTGATATTGTGTTTAATTGCTTGATACTGATAAAAATATAACCAGGTATAAGTTTAACTGATATAAAAAAACTAATAATAATAAGAAAATATAATTTCTAATGATGATTCTAAAAACAGGCCTGAAGCTGAGAGTCTGAGCTTGGCATGTGTGGAAAGATGGGAGAGAAGCCAAACGATGTCTGACTTTACAAATATATGATTTAATAAAAATAAATTGTTTTGAGTATATTGTGACCATGAAACTGAGTTTTAAAGAAAAAGTATTTCTATACAACCTGAATTAAAGGGATTATGCTTCAATGAAAGTTGTTGTGAAAATGTTCTGATGGAGTCTAATTGAAGAGCAAATGGTATAAACTGAATGAAACAGGGAGTGAAGCATATCCATATTAGAGATGGAGTGATAACACTTTTTTATGTCCGATACCGATGTCGTAAATTTGGATATCTGCCAGCATCCATGTGAATCTGATACAGTCGATTTTATATTCAATAAAACAGATTTTAATGTCTTGCTACATTTTGTACAAGTTCATACTAAAATGTTAAAGACAAAACACTTAAGCTATTCTTTTATACTTGTATACAAAAAACATACTGCGCCCAAAATATTCCACAGTTCAGCCATACTGATCTTTAAGTATTTAAAGTAACATTCAAAAAGTTATTTAAAATGCAATTTTGTGCAGATTTCAAAAACTCTTTGGTTCTGAAAACACAAGTGCAGCTCAAATGTTGTAGAATGGACCCTTTAATAGCTTAACATAAATAGACATCCAGAGTGGAAGCAGTGCAAATAAATGCAAACACGGCTTCATGACATCCATCAGTGTGTGAGCTGATTCTATCACATTTAACCTGAGACTGAATTTTGTGTAATTTCCATACAAAACTTAACACAAGTATGTTTTTTGTTTTGAACCACGGACCTGTTTGGCCATGTGTCGTGCCGTGGTACGTGTCCCCGACAGAATTGGTTTCCCCTGCGTGGCCTCTCCAAGTCACGGACAAACAGGATCCCACATTCTTGATTTTTAGTTCACAAACACTTCTTATAATGAATAACTACTCCTGAAACTTTGGAGGTTCATGAAGTCTTTATACGGTTGTATGAAGTTACAGGAAAATAAAAATAATTATCAGGAAAAATGCCCTTCATTTTTCAAAATAATCCCGTCTGATACCACATGAAAAGAATAAATATATAACTTTCTGTTGTAACTCTCAAACTGAATGATAATATAACGACACTCACTTTTCCTTCTTTTCACAAAACTAAAACATCAATACTTCCACGCATAATTATCCGTAATGGAGGCGGAGCAAACTCTGTGCCCAGCGAATGCTCGCGACGTTTCATCTCATTCATCACTTTGATCAGTGTTCACAAATGTTAGTTATGATGTGTTGTGCTTATTTTGGCTTTTTATTCAGGTATATTTTTCTCTTTTATTTGTTTTTTTTTAAATTTTTGTTTGATTTTCAAATGTCAAACAGTGTGGTTGTGTTTGTAAGTGTGAATAATAAAGATTTAAAGATGAAGAATTTGATTCTACTACTAGTCGTGTGTAACTTTACCAAAACAATGTCAGACTTCATAGTTTTCTCTGGGCCTCCACAATCAGACCAGCAGGAACCAAAGTGTCCAAAAAGTCATGTGGGCTTCAGACATAACTGGGAAACTTTCTGGAAGAAACCAGTTCATGTTAGCAGAGACCACATCCATCCCACTTTGGATGGAGAAGCTCTCATTTCTAGAAAACTGCCCAAACTTGCTGAATCCCCCAAAACGTGACTATCCAGAGCTGAGATCAGGAAGCAGAGCTGCAGTCGTACACACCTCACTG